TCTCTCTGTGTCTTGACTGATCTTGAAGCTGTTGTGGGCAAAGGTATTCACTTTTTCTTGCATTATTTGGCGTATGCTGTTTAATCTTGCAATTTAAATATTCTGACATAGAGGTTAATATTTTTATGTGCAGACAAACTCGTGGTGTCCACTTCCTGCTCACTTCTCCACACAGCTGTTGATCTTGTTAATGAGACTAAGCTTGACCAGGAGATCAAATCCTGGCTTGCATTTGCTGCCCAGAAAGTTGTTGAAGTGAATGCATTGGCCAAGGCATTGGCTGGTCAGAAGGATGAGGTATCTATTTCCTTTGAAAATATTGTTAGCCTGATGGCAATCTGTTAAGGTTCAAATCATTTATCTTATGGCTTTTGTAGTCTAATGAAGTAGCACATGTTCATGTTAATTAATTGAGCAATATTTCAACCAGCCACCTCAAGATAGCACATTTAAGTTAGAGTGCATGCTAGCTGAATGACATTAACTAGGGTTTTGTTTCTTTTTTTTCTGTTTTCTTATAATTCTGATGATGCTGTGGTACTGAATGTTTATTTCTCCATTTTTAGGTATTCTTCCCTGCCAATGCTGCTGCTCAGGCTTCAAGGAAGTCCTCCCCGAGGGTTACCAATGAGGCTGTGCAGAAGGCTGTGAGTGTTTTCATCCATTAAAATTCTACTTTATACCCTTAAGGTACTGCTCTATTGAGTTCATTTTTATGCTGACCATTAATTATTGTACTTTACTTTGCAGGCTGCTGCTTTGAGGGGCTCAGACCACCGTCGTGCAACCAATGTTAGTGCTAGGCTGGATGCTCAGCAGAGGAAGCTTAACCTTCCAGTTCTCCCCACCACTACCATCGGGTCCTTCCCTCAGACCTTGGAACTTAGGAGAGTTCGTCGTGAATACAAGGCTAACAAGTGAGCCTTTATTTTTTTATGTCTCCTTTTTTCATCCCAATATGACCATTATGTTAATCGGTCTTTTTGTATTGTCCTTGTTAGGATCTCTGAGGATGATTACGTTAAAGCCATCAAGGAGGAAATCAGAAAGGTTGTTGAACTCCAAGAAGAGCTTGATATTGATGTCCTGGTTCATGGTGAGCCAGAGGTTAGTATTGCTCTTCCTTTAGCCCTTAGAAGAATAATATTTTGAGTTTATTTTATTTTAC